GGGGTCACTGGGGGGTTCAAACATGCCCCCCCCCCTTCGAAAACCAGGGGGGCCACTGGGTGTTCCAGAACCCCCCCCCGGGTCTATTCAGAAAAAAAGAGGGGGCACTACCGATTCGACCCCTCCCCCCCTCCTCCTCGACGCGGGCAAGCGACTCGCCGCCAGATGGGGAACTGCGGCGGGGACATTGGTTGGGATGGTGGCGGGGATGGTGGTGGGAAGTGGGGACAGTGGTGGGGACAGTGGGGAGAGTGGGATCGTGGCGGGGACACTGCTCGGGACTGGGGAAAGTGCAATTGTGGTGGGGACACTGGTGGGGACAGTGGCGACAGTGGTGGGAACAGTGGGGACAGTGGGATAGTTGTGGGGACAGCGGGGCCCGTGGTACCGTGGTGGGGACAGTGGTGATGGTGGGGACAGTGGCGAGGGGACAATGGGACAGTGGTTGGGGCAGTGGGGGGGACACTGGGACAGTGGTGGGGACAGTGGTGGTGGGGACAGTGGTGAGGGTGGCGGTGAAGACCGTGGGGGAACAATGGGACAGTGGTACAGCGGGGACAGTGGTGGGGACAGTGTGGCTAGTGGGACAGTGGTGGGAATAGTGGGGACACGGGGACAGCACAGTGGGACAGCGGCGGGGATAGTGGGACAATGGTGAGGACAGTGAGTGGGACAGCGGTGGGGACAATGGGGACAGAAGGGAGAGTGGGACCGTGGTGGGCACAATGGCGGGGGCAGTGGGGACAGTGGCGACAGTGGTGGGGGCACTGCTGGGGCTAGTGGGGACAGTGGCGGGGACAGTGGGGACAGTGGGACGTGGCGGGGATAATGGGGACACTGGGAAACTGGTGGGGGGCACTGCTGGGGACAGTGGGGGCAGTGGTGGGGACAGTGGGGATAGTGGGATTGTGGCGGGGACAGTGGGGACAGTGGGATAGTGGCGGGGACACTGGAACTCTGGGGAGCGTCGGACCGTGGTGGGGACAGTGGTGGGGACATTGGAGACAATGCGACAGGGGGGGGGGGGGGCACTGGTGGGGACAGCGGGAACAGTGGTGGGGACAGTGATAGGGACAGTGAAACAGCGGCGGGGACGGTGGGGACAGTGGAGCGGGACGGTGGTGGTGATGACAGTGGCGAGTGGACAGTGGGACAGTGGTGGGGACAGCGGGGAGGACAGTGGGACAGGGGTTGGGACGGTGGTTGGGGACAGTGGTGAGGGCGGTGGTGAGGACGGTGGTGGGACGGTGGTACAGTGGGGGCAGTGGCGGGGACAGTGGGACATTGGTGGGAACCGTGGAGACAGTGGGACGGCACAGTGGGACAGCGGCGGGGACAGTGGGGACAGTGGGACGCTGGTAGGAACAATGGGGACAGAGGGGAGGCACAGTGGCGGAGACAGTGTGGACAGTGGGACAGTGGTGGGAACAGTGGGGGCACTGGGACAGCACAGTGGGACAGCGGTGGGGACAGTGGGACAACGGTGGGGACAGTGGGACAGTGGCGGGGGACAGTGGGGAGAGTGGGACCGTGGTGGGCACAGTGGTGGGGGCAGCGGGGACAGTGGCGACAGTGGTGGGGGCACTGCTGGGGACAGTGGGGACAGTGGTGGGAACAGCGGGGACGGTGGGGACCGTGGGACAGTGGTGGGGACAGTGGGGACGGTGGGACAGCGGTGGGAACGGTGGTGGGGACAGTGGTGGGGGTGGTGGTGGGGACAATGGTGGAGACCCAGGTGTCGTTTGCCGGTTGTGAGTGTGGTAGGGGGGTTCGAACTGGCAGTGATCCCCCCCCCACCGGTTTTCGGAGGGGGGGGTCGAACCAGTAGTGACCCCGCTTCCGAAGAAGAGAGGGGGGGGAGAGGAGGGGGTTAGAGTTGGGAGGGGGGTCGGAGGGAAGGGGACGGGGGGGGGGCCGGCTCCGGAGGAAGAGGGGGGAACATTTTCCACAGCAAAGCGGCAGTGGATCACGCTCTCTCTCTCTCTCTCTCTGACATAGGAGCAGGATGTTCAGAGAGTCGGGAGAGCACGAAGCTGTCCCAAATGACTCTGTAGATGGCGACGGTGACGACAGGGCATGAGCAGGAGAGGACAGTCAATTAGACCCACAGCACGGGATGGAAGGAGCAGGGGCGAACCTCACGAGCGACAGGAGAGAGGCTTCAAACGTCGACGAGCTTAAACAACAAATGGAAGTCCTCAGGGCCGCTGCCCCAGGCATCGACGCCCAGATAGCCGATGGAAAGAGTGCGATGACTACAGTCCGTCCAGGAGCCAAAGGTGCTACGACAGGTGCGTTTGGCAGCGCTGGAGCAGGAGCTTCGGGAAGTGCAAAGCAGGGGAAGGGGAGGTCCCCCCCCCGCCGAGCAGCCGCCACGGCCCCCGCCACCGCCAGGGGGAAGGGAGGCCGCCGCGGGAGCAGGGGTGGGAGCCACAGCCTCTTCTGCCCGACAAGCGGCAGGCCGAGGGTGGGCCTTGCAATAACAGCCCTTGATACCAAG